GGCTTTCTTCTAGTATTTATTTGTGCACACTAGCCACCATTTTTTGGTTGTATACTTGAACACTTCTTCCGTCGGAAATGCCTGAAAAAGATGGAGTTATTGGAGCTCATGGACTGATACTACTAATTCTACTGTACGAAACTCGATTTCAGACGCCCATTGTAAGAGACTGCAGAGTGCAGTGCTGAGCATCTCGTTGACGCTTTCTTTTCCTCGCAGAAGACACGATCTCCAGTTGCAGAGGCATCACTTCTCGCCGAACATCCCTACGGTTGCCGTGCAGCGGGTTACTCAGATATTCCAGAGATCGGGACGGGGAAGTATAGCGAGGCCGACCAATTGCAGTTTCGATTCTAGCGTAATGCTGCTTTCGCTTTCTCGACGGCGCTGGGTTTGGCGAAAGGGACTGGAATATTTTAGCAGCACCACCATCCGACTCGGACTCTGTCGTGATGTCACTAATGGCATCGGTCGGACTTAATTCTTCAGGACTGGGAGCTCCTGGAACGACTTTGAGGCTGCTACTTGGTATCGACTTGCTAGTTGCAGGACGCTTCTCGTTCCCGGTCGTCAGAATTTTAATTTCCAGCTTTTTCATAACATCTTGAACGTGACTAGCAGGTTGCACGTCGCTCCCACCTTTAAGACTGTTGCCATTTGGCCGTGTCTTCGGTTTTGAAGTCGGTTTAGAGACGCCAGGTCCTGGTACAGTCAAATCCTCGGGTTTCTTCGCGGGAGATACATCCCGACAGTGCGAGCAGAACCAGTCTCCTTCGGGAACATCCAAAAGAGCCGGCCGTACACAATTGAGGTGGTAGGCCCGCTCACAGCCATCACAGCACAGCAGCTTCCCTCCTTTTAGGCAGATTCCACAAAACTCCATGTGCTGGTCTGCAGCAGGACGCTGTTGAGCGATTCGTTTGGCTTCCCTCTTCCTCTTTTTCTCTCGCTGCCCGTCATGCCATTTCTCATACTCGGGCGTTTTCTTCCATAGGTAAAACTTGCTCACTAACTCTCGAGTTGCCACGGTGGGGAATCTCCGCTGTTCAAAAGAACGACTAAATGTCAGCAACATATTCACCAAATTCTGCACTCATGTAGTTTCCCACCTTGACGAGATGAAATTTTTTCCCGTGTCTGTCCATGGCTCTCTCAAATGTAAGTTTTTGTATGCGTTCTGCCTCCTCTCGTTTCAGTTTTAATTTCGCGTGACGAGCGTTGTGAATGATCTCCACAGCTTTAGGTACGTCATAGTTCGCTTCAAACAAGGATTGCAGTGCCTGCGTGCACCCAAAAGTTAGCATCACAATTTGCAACCCAATTTCGTGTACCAGTACGACTCACCATCTCCGTCTCTTTCGGCCACGCATACGTTCGCACGAATTCTACAATCTCGTCGTTGGTAAGTTTTGGCTGTTGACCATCGCGCCAGCCCCATCGCTGTCGGTACTGTGGCCGGTAGAGCTGTCTGTTGCGCTCCTGCTCGGCCGCTGACAGCAGCGCTGGGATTTCCGCTCGAATATCGCTCTCTTCTGGCGTGGACGCCATTTTTCCGATTGTTGACACCCTTTTTGCTGATTTCTGGTGGCTCTTATCTCGGGTTGTGAGAAATGAGAACTGTCCCACCTGTTTTTATACCCAAAAAAGGAGTGGAAAATCAATTCTTTGAATGCTCGTCAATCGATGACTGTCTCCTCTACCAAAAGCTCCACAGATTGTTCGAGCACCATCTTCAAAAATAGTGGGAAAACAACATGTAGAGTGAAATTATCAAGTAACATTCTTGAACTGCGAAAAATATTCTTGTTGCCTCGCCATTACCCGTCAAATCAAGACGGCGGGATACGCCGCGGAGCCAGCATTTTCCGGTGCCGCTTTCTGCCTGAGCCTGGTCGTTCCAACTGCACGACAGGAGTCCTCCTCGCCCCAATATGAGATGCGTCTACAGATTGTTCCGCCGATGCAGTGCTGCTAGGTGCAGTGGTCTCGTTGCTATTCTGTTGTGCAGCGGGGGTTAATTGCGTCACTGGGCCAGGGTTCAGTTCTGATTTGTTGCATCCGGCATTGCCGCTTGCAAGTGAAGTTGACGGAGTTTTGGCACTGGGACTATCCGACTCGTTGTCTGTCAGACTTCCGGAATTTGCAGCATTCAAGCTCAGCTCTTTGGGACTATGACATTTGGAGGCGTAGTCGTCACTGTCACTATCGCCGCTAGATTCACCATTGGCGTTGTCTTCGTTCTCGTCGTCCGAGTAGTCTTCTTGTTCGTCCTCTTCCTCGTAGCTGCTAGCATCCGTCATTGACTCCATCAATGAGCGCGGGACACTTGATGATGGAACGTAAACCATGCACTGATCGTTTTCGCTGCTGGGCACCAGCTTCGGTTTAATTCCTCCAAACTCCTCCAGGCAGTGTGAGCAGAACCAGTCTTCCTCTTTATCCAGCCTTGTGATCGGCGGCTGCGCACAGCTGACATGGTAAGCGCGCGGACATCCATCGCAGCACAACAGACTACCTCCTGTCGCGCACAGCTCGCAGTGGCGATTATGATAGACCTCGAATGTCTCCGTTTCGGGATCCGATTCGTCGACCCATTGGCGCAGTCTCTCTGCTTCCTTCTTTGTCTTCCTCGTCTTC